GACTGGGGCACGAACCCGTGTCCCCTGCATCGGCAGGCGGACTCTCAACCACTGCGCCACCAGGGAAGCCCTGTTCATGTATTTTGTACTAATTTACTGATAAAGTCTGCTGCCTGAGTGCCACCAGTTCCTGTCCCAGGGTCAGGCTGATGAGTTCATTTGTGCGGATGACAGGGACTTGCAAGCTGGCTTCCCACTGCAGGTCCTGGTGCTGCCCCCGTGCAGAGCCCCTTCCCACCTGTCGAGCCAGGGCTGCCACAGCTGTTGCCTCCGCTTCTGCTGTTGCCGCCACCATCCCCACTGCCGTGCAGGCTCAGGAGCCTGCCCGGCTGCGGCAAGCTCCTCGGAGGCGTGTGTGTGCATGCTGGGTTGCCTGCACTGCCCGAGCCCTCTGCGCACGTGCAAGCATAACCTCTGGTCATGTTTCCACTGTTCACGTGCATGTTCCATTGTCCTATCAGACTTCACTTACCAAACACAAGTTCAAAAATAAAATTATTAAGAATTTCAAGACAGGAACAGCAGAGGATTAAAACAAGCGTGGGGTCCTTCTGAGAGAAGGGCCCTGTGAGACTGCACGGCTCATACGCTCACGAAGCTGCATATGGTTGCATAGTCTGTCAAGTGTCAGGATTTGAACTGGAAGAACATGAGGTGATAGGGAAATGATGAAACTGATGGATTCCCTCCATGTCTTTAACTTAAGGAAATAGGTTGTTGATAAATCTGTGTCATCCTCATACTGAAATGTGTACTTATTGAGAGCAAGAATCGTGTCTTATATAACCCGGTACGCACCACAGAGCCTACCTCCATGCTTTGGATATAGCAGATGTTAAATAAATTTGGTTGAATAGATAAATTGCTATTCTTCTGTTTTCAGAGGGGTAACATCTAAAGACCTGGCCACAGATAGATGATCTTTTTATGTAAGTCACTAACCTGATCAAAGTCGGTGTAAAAAACTCTGATCTGATTGTCTGATCCAGGAGGAGGAATATTGTTAGTAAGCATTGTGTTTCCTGTAGCGATTCTCTAAATGTGCCTGTATGTAAACTTCCTAAGTTTGGCGGGAATCCTTCTGCCTTTCCCTGGACTTAAAGAGAATCTCATAATTGATTTCCATTTTTTTTCTCCTTTGTTTCCTGAGGGGACTTAATTCTTTTCCAGACCCAAGATTAAGATGGCATTATTCTTTACCCAGAGTTTCCAAAGGTGATTTTGTAAATATTGTCTTAGACCTAACGATGAAAGACTGCTGACTAGGGAAATCTAATCAGCAAGTGGGAGATGAAGGCAAGGAGCAAAGTCTATAATTCTGCCTGTAACTTTTTATTAAAAACTGTCTTCTGTAGTAGGCAAGTCAGGGTGCTGCTCCATCAAGTAGCACACGTACTTGCCTTGGGGGCTCCCTTGTTTCACTTACTGTATAAGTTTGAATTTAGGGTAATAAAAACAGACCTTGTTGAGTCATGAAAATGGAAGATAGGCCTGGATTCTGCAGGGCAGTTGCAGTAAGTGCTCAGACTACAGACAGCCAGGCCCTTGGCCAACCTCTAGTAACCAGTGTTAAGGTCTATCCACAGCCCAAAATTCCTGTCGATCTTGATAAGTCTACACTCTATGAATGAGTAAAATTTATTAGTATGCATGCCAAAATGGCACACTCAGATGTTACTTATTCATACTGACACACCCTGATACTATCAGGCGCTTCCAATTCTAAATTACCACACATTCCAGAGGATGCGATCCAGGGAGTACAAATAACATTCATCTGGGTTAGTAAGAGCCTATGTCCCTCTTATATAAAACAACAACAACAATAAAACTTACTGATGGGACCTCAGCCCTGGTGACACCTTGACTGCAGTGAATTCTTGAGGCAGAGGCACCCAGCTAAGTTGTACCTGAAGTCCTGACCCACAGAAACTACGAGAGACGTTTGCTGTTTTATGCTGCTAAGATTTGGAGTACGTCATTACACAGCAGCAGATGATCCGACTTAAAGGGGGCATGGGGGTCAGCCACGTGGCCCTCTGGAGGAGGAGCACTCTAGGCAGAAGAAACAGCCAGTGCAAAGGCCCTAAAATAGGAGCACGGCGGATATGGAACAGCAAGGGGGCCAGTGTGTAGGAAGAGGGAATGAGGGTAAGAATAGGAGATGAGATAAGGGAGATGACTGCGGGTCAGATCGTATGGGAAGCTAGCAGGTTACTGGAGTTAACTTTGGCCTTGATCTAAGAGAAACTGGGAGCTGTTGCAGGGTTTTGAGAGAGTAGTGGCATGATCTACGTTTCTGAAAGATCACTCTGGCTTGTGCTGAGGAGCAGCTGTAGAGAATAAGGGAGAAAGCTAGGACACCAATTATGAGTCTGGGGCAGTAAATTAGGCAAGAAATGATGGTGGCTAAAATCAAGATGGTAGCTCATAGAGTCAATGTAACAGGGATGACTTCTGGATGTAGAACCACAGATTGGTCTGCGGGGCATGAGAGAAAGAGAAGAGTCAAGGAAGACCTCATCATTTTCAGTTTGAGTAATAAAGAAATGGGAAGACTGTAGGAGGATCAGGTGTGGGGATGAGGAAAATCAGAAATTCACATTTAATCACATCTATCGAGATATCTATTACACACCAAGTAGAGACATTAAGCAGGAAATTGGACATACGAGTCTAGAGTTGGGGAATGATGTTTAGGCTGGATATATTTAGAAGTTGTCAGTATACAAATAGTATTTAAAGTCATGAGACTGTATGAGATCACCGTCTAAAGATTGAGGGACCAAGGGACCAAAAACTGGGAATTGGCATATTCCTACATTCAGAAGTCAGGATAGAGAGAAGGAATTGTAGAGAAACCTGGGAAGGAATAGTCAGGGAGGTAGGGGGAAAACTCGGAGTGTGTGGAGTCTTGGAGTCAATTAAAGGAAGTGTATCAAGGTGAAGTGGCAGACCACCGCTGCTGTGCTGGTATGAATACTGAGAAGTGACCGCTGGACTTTCAAGAGCAGTGTCAGTTGAGTCGTGAGGTCTGGAGAGTGACTGGAATGGGTTTGGCAGTGAGAGAAAAAGAACTGGAGCTAGTAAGAACAAAATAATTCTTTCTAGTTTTGCTGCAAAGCCACCAGAAAAATCAGGTGGTGAGGGCAATGGGGTTAGGTGTTAAAAAGGTATTTTTCTGCTGATGGGAAAATTGAGAAATGGCAAAACTTAGCTGATTTAGTAGGAGGAAGAATGGCTAACCAATGTCCTTAGGTAGACTCTAGTGCCCAAGTAGAGGGCCTAGCTTTGAGTAGAAACCCAGAGAGATTGTTTAGTCTCAGGAAGAAACTGCAAATGACTTGGAAATTAGCAAAAAATATTACTGGTGCCCTGTCCAGCACACTCCTCAGGATATCTGCACCTCATCTTCGAGCTATTTTGCAACTTTGTAAGCAGCAGACTCTTGGTACTGGTTCTAACATCTTACTAGTTCCTTCATTATGAGTTCAATAAAATCTTTGGCATGTGCTCATTTTATATTTGTGTGAGAATCATGATTATACATCCTCTTTTAAAAAGAAAGTATCCTTCAACAGTAACGAGGGCAGACAACATAAATGGGCAAATGCTTAGGTGGGTGGAGGCAGTGGTGGTAACGGTGGAAGCTGTCTTCCAGCGGCTTCATTTTCCTGAGGACAGGGATGTGACACAGTCAGCAGAATGGGAGAGTGAATGGACTGGGGAAGTTTAGTACGACTGCAGCAGTGAACACCACTTGAGGTTAACGGCCATGAATTCGAAGGGGGATGTTGGTGGACTGTATTTCTCCAGCCATAGTTCAGTTGCATAGGTGCACACACCAAGGAGGGAGGGTTGAATGTAACCAGGGGTGTGCCTTGGTTAAACCACGAGGAAGCAGCAATGTGGGGCGGCAAGAGAATTGGGGATATATACAAAGAATGATTAGAGTGATTCACTTAAGCAGGGTAAGGAGATATGACTTAGAAAAGGTGAAGGACTACGTTCTATTGACAGACTGGAGGTCCCAATGGGGTGGAAAGACTTGGAGTTGCTGTACTAGAACAATAAGCTGGGAAGACAGAAGCTGGTAATCAGAGAAGCAAAATATTCTCTCTACTTGGGGCCAGCATCCGAGCATCTGGACAGACATTCTACTGTTTGAGGGTCACTTACCTGTTAACCACGAGACTCCTCTTTTAGTGTGTGGAAGCAGAGATGTTTTGCATAGAGTGCTTACTTCCCCTTCTCCTAGTTTAATTCTTATGGTCTTTCTCAATGAGATGATTCCATGAAATCAAGTTTTGTTTTCTTCAAGAGTGAACAGAATCTGCAGACAGACAGGCAGCACGATGAGCAGGGTCTCTCTGGAAGGTTGTGCAGTCTGCGCACTGCACAAAGGACCGCAAGCTAAAGGGTGAGTGGGCTGAGATCCAGCTCAAGCTCCGCTCACTGAGCTGCAGTCCTATCACCAGCTGCCTTTTGTGTCCACAAAGGTTCATGCCCTGCTCTTGTGGGGATGTTCTAGAGTAACGACTTACCTAATTCACAGAAAGACGCTATGTAGACCAAGGAGCCCTGACAAAAAATGCACATGTGCTATGAGGCTTTTACCCAGAGGGCTAGGCTCAGAAGGCAGATATGTCTTTCTGTAGAGAAATCTCTTGTGTTCTTTTGTCCTCTAAGCATTTCAAGTGTTCAGAGTCTTTTTGAAGGAAGAGACCTGATATTATGTGCATAGAGTAGCTCTCTGTTTCCCCCAAACCAATACATGGCTTTCTAGATCATTGGTATTTGAGAAAAAGGATGAAGTATGCATCACGTGAATTACTTAGGGATCACTGCCACCTCCACTGTTTCTTGTCCATTTATCAGAAAAATCTTAGACTAAGGTAAGACACTGATAAAAATCAGCTGAATATTTTTTTTTCTGATAAGCAATGTAAGCGAGTGGGCAGAAATTGCTTAGATAGGTGTAAAAAATTTCTACTTGCTCATTTACTATTTTAAGACCTTTAATACAACAGTTCATTTTGAGATATGTTACTTATCAATGGTCTTTGAATTTTCAGGTAACTTCAGTTATGCAAATGTTTACAGTCTCCTTAAACTATCCATTAAGCTTCATATAAAAGTACCGGCAAAGGCTTTTTTTTGGGATAGGAATTCTAGCAATAACCACTCATTGAATTAAAAACACAATACAGAACAAAGCTTTGTGGAGACAAAATAATCCATGCTACTGAAAGCAAATGTTAGTATAGAGGATGAGCTACAACTTGGAGACTTAAAAACAAAGGTTATTTTCAGTACACTTTTCTATTCAGTAGCTAATCCAGGGAATGCTGTCATGAGGTAGTTCAGTAACATTTTCCCGAACTTAATAGTAACAGAGAATTAAAGAGTAAAGCTATTCAGCTAAGCCAATAGGAAAATCAAGAGTCTCCAGCTCCAAGCTATTTCTGGATTATCCATGTGAGGAATCTGCAGACTCTCTCTGGTGTTCTCCCTGTAGGCACGTGGACTGTTTTACCAGCACAAATAGCAACGTTGACTGTGATCTTGCAAGCACAATTCTCAATTATTCTCCACGGCTAAGCTTTCGCCAAAGACCACACAACTTTGTTCGGAGCCTCTTTGAGGACATCACTACTTCCTTTTCTGTCTTCACCTAGAAATGCAATGTTTGGGCAAGGAAGGGGGAGGGAGAGTAGAAGACAGGAGAAGCATGAGAAGGATGGCAAGAACATGGGGAGCACAGAGCTGACTGGGAACCCTCTCTCAGGGCCCGACAGGCTTCTTCACAGGGAATGCTCATTATTTTACTTAAAAGTACAATGAAATTCCAGAACAGCAGACAAATTCCTAGTCTAACCTAGTATAAAACCGTATGCTAAAGCAAAATACATTTTTCTGCCCAAATAATATTCTAAAATTATTTATGCCATTTGTGTGGCAATTAAGGCCAAAATGCAATATGCTTTACATTTCTGGTGTAGAAAGTTTTGTTCCTGAGTCCCGGTCCTGAGGATGGCAAATCTAAATGATAAATGAAATGACTATGTCATTTATTAGATGGAATAGCTGATGGAAATGGTATTTGATTATTGGGGAGAAAATGTTACTTCAGAAATCTAAGCACTTTAGAAAATGTGCTGATGTACATATATTGAAAGTTGGGTTAAAAAGAATCTGTTTACCAGCTTCGGTTTACTACTCCAGAGATGCAGGTTGGGAGGATATTCTTAGACTGTGCCTTCCATGCATGTCTGGTTAATAATGAGGTGCTTTCCCCCATAGCATGGCACATCTTAGTGCAAAACTTTAGTACCTAGTAGACTATAAGAAGATATCTGTATAAAAGAAATAAAGTTAATACCTCAGCCAGTAAGCCAGTAAATCTTATGCTGCACGAATGTGCAGTTTTTTACTGCGTTGCTCAGGCTATAGTATTATTTTCTACTTTCACACCATGCAGTTATATCCACTTGATTTAATCATGGATATTTTCTTTAACATAAGCTATCTTAAGTGCAAATTTCATTTTTAAATATCTTCAGATTCATTCTATTAGTTAAAATACACTCAGGCAGACATTAATCCAATTTGAATAACTACATATGAATGAGGCTACAGCACTATCCAATACCGGGAGCAAGTCAGTTCCATTCATGAGGGCTTTTTATGCATAAATATAAAAATATTTTATTTCAGATGCTTACACTTTTAAGGTACTCCCTAGAAAGGGATGTCAAAAAAATATTAAATAAAAGAGGTTTCAAACTTTGTTAGGCTATGATTTGAGGGGGAAATGACTATTGATGGTTACATAGCTGGAAATCTTTGTGGTAATAAGTATAAGCTAACTTCAATCAACTCACTTTTCCCAGAATCCATTGGTGTGAAATTATACATTGTTGTTATTTTCAAAGGCTATTCAGCTTTGACTGATATGCAACAAGCAGTTACTGAGCATCTGCTATATTGCTTATTGTGTAGTCTAGTTAATTTGTCTGTAGCAAAAACAAAGCCACAGATGACCTTATCTCTTCCACTGTGTGTGTGTTTGTTTGAAGCTGTTTGTATATTCTTGATTAGTCTGTTTTTGAAGCAGCTTGGAAAAGTCTCATCTACTTTTTAGCATTTGGTTGCTTTTATAAAGCGTCTTAGAAAGCAGACATAGCACTCCCAGGTCTGCCAGAAGTATTTCTTCTCTGAAGACTCAATTTCTTCCATTGTTTAAAAAAATTTTATTTATTTTGCCACGCTGAGCAGCAAGTGAGATCTTAGTTCCCCAACCAGGGATCGAACCCATGCCCCCTGCAGTGGAAGAGCGGAGCCTTAACCATTGGACTGCCAAGGAAGTCCCAAGACTCATTTTCTTGAGTGGTATTGCTTTGCTCATGCACTGAAGACTTCTGGTAACAGAAATGGACCAGAGAGTTTTAAACAGTTCTACAGAAATTGTACTTTGGTCTCTAGACTTTGTTGTCCTTGGGAATTGGAACTGTCACCTGGTGTGCATTCCTCATAACTGAGATTATCTTAAAACAGAAATGGTAGGAAAGCTTTCCTGTGCTTCGGGTAGGAGACGAATTTGCTTTTGTAGAATTTGTGGCTGAGGAAAGCTGACAGGGCCTGGCTGAAGAAGACATATGTTACCACGAGCCACCAAGTTAAGTTGTGGAAACCAAAGGTGACAGCCATGGAAATGTAGATCATCAGCTCTGCCAGGTAGTTAGGGGAAGAAACGTATTCAAACCAGTCTCCAAAAGGGATTCGGTGGTTACAGTGAATGACCACTCCTGAAATGGAAAAAGAAGATACCCTGAACATTTGAAGTTGCCAAAACGAAGTTTTACCACTTCACCCTCCAAATAATTTATAAAACTCATTTAGAAAAAGGTGTCACAGACCTGTACAAACCACCATCCTGTCACACCTCCATTGTCATTCTACTACATATTAAAAAGTCACATGCTGAGGTTATACTAACAACTGTAAATACGTTTCTCCAACAATCCTCCAAGCTATTAAGAACTCAGACACCAGAGTCAGACTGCATGAGTTCAAATCCTAGCTCTGCCACTTACAAGCTGTGTAACTTTAGATAAGTTGCTTAACCTCTCTGTGCCTCTCTTTCCTCATCTATAAAATGAGGATAAGACTGTACCCGCCTAAAGCGAGTTCTGTGAAGTTACATATAAAGCACTCAGAACAGGGCCAGCACAAAATAAGCACTTGATAAACGCTGAATAGTACTATTCCATTTTTAATATTTCAAAAAGTCTAATAAAAACTGTAACTGTGATAAGTCAACACAAGTTAACTAAAGAGTCAAGGTTTTTTTGCTTTAGCTGGAATGATACTAACTTGGCACAGTAATACTAGGGCTCACATGCTGGTTAGACACATATGTGCAGTGTAGGCCCCAAAATGTGGACACAGAATAGAGTTGCAGAATGTCAGGGCTAGACGGTGTCAGGGAGGTCTTTCAGTAAAATGCTCTCATTTTACAGATGGGAAGATCAAGACCCAGAGAGTCTTGTCAAAAATGAGCATTGGAGGGCTTCCCTGGTAGTGCAATGGTTGAGAGTCCGCCTGCCGATGCAGGGGACGCGGGTTCATGCCCCGGTCCGAGAAGATCCCACATGCCGCGGAGCGGCCGGGCCCGTGAGCCATGGCCGCTGAGCCTGCACGGAGCCTGTGCTCCGCAATGGGAGGGGCCCGCGTACCGCAAGAAAAAAAAAAAAAAAAGAGCATTTGATAGATTAGTCAACTAATTAGGGCAGGAAAGAAAAGAGAGAAGTAATATGTACACCTAACTTCTGAGGGCTAAAATCCACATGCAGTGGTTCTAAAAGATATCTCACCTGCTTTATTTTTCCTGAGATTTCCGAGAATGACATGACACTTATACTGATGGACAGATGACCAGATGAACATCATCATTCCGAGGATATGGAACCACCGAGCTTGCATCAAGAGATTTTTCCCTATCACGTAGACTACAGAAATAAGAATTATCTTATTAGCCAACTCTGCAAAATTTCAGAGGCTCAGAGCATTAAAAAAATCATATAATCAGTAGAACACCATTACCTACTTATTCTGTTCTTCACGACTGGAAAATCATCCTGTTATAATTTCCCAAGTACAGAGGGGAGAACAGCATCCCTGTGGATGAGGGAGGTGTGCTCCTCAGCCAGGGGCAGCTTCAGGGGCCCCTGGCAGAGAATTCCATATCAACACATTCTCTTGCTCCTTCTTCAAGTGCTTCAAGCACAGGGGTCAGCTCTGTCTCCCACTCTTGTGATGCACTCTTGTGTGGTGAGACTACTTAGCATTTTTATTTCTAAGCCTGGTTTTATGTCCTCTTTCTTACAGTCTGTCAGAAAAACACTTCCTAAAGGATCTCATCCCGAGCCATTTCTAAGGAAACCTTTAACGCTGACTTGACTGGCTGGCTCTGGCCAGTGAAGAAAATCACTGGAAGTAAAGGCTAACAGTGGAACTTCTCAAAAAGAGGAGAAATGGAAACTGCAAGATAAAGACCAAAACAGTATCCCTTTCTGATTAGAGAGAATCTAGTCAGAGAGATTTCGTTTCAGGAGTAGAAACACTCAAAAGTTTCATCTTCTTTCTTCTCCAGCTACCAAGAAGACGTGAAGAATGCAGGTTTTCTAAGGACTGGCATTAGAAAAACAAATTAAGGACTTCCCTATGTTCAGCAGGAAGCAGTGAGGCTAGTCAGGGATTTGACTGAAAAAACAAAGCTGTCCATTGACAACGGGGAAGAGCCGGAGGCTCTGCAGCCAAGAGGGAGCCCCTACAAAGTTGATTCAGGTAGGAGAACCAAGGGTCAAGCTATTCCATATGGGTACCTGGAGGCAGGACTCAGCTGATGACAGCTAATGACTAATGACAGTCCACCAAAATCTAATTGTGTTAATTTCTTTTAAAAACTTGCTTTCTCTAAACAATCTACCATAGTCTCTTAATGTTGACTAAGTTTAGCCATTTAATTAAATAGTTATATTTTTATAAGTTAAAAATAAGCAGAATATGAAAAATAGTTTTAAATCAGAGGGCTATAAGAGCAAGTCACCACAGGATTAAAAGTTGAAGCAAGTGTCTGAGAGTTCATGTTACAGCCAAGTCACCTACTCTAAAGGCAGAGAAATTACCTATGAGAGAAAAAAAAATTTTAAGAGGAAGTTTTGATACAGGAAAGGGGAGGCAGGAGGAAGGCTATTTACTGAGAGTCTAATCTGTGTAGTATTTAGTTATTCATTTATTCATTCGTTCCTTATTGAGTGTCTACTGAGTGTGGCATCTCTCACAAGGGATAAAGCAGTGGGTAAGTCAGGTGAGGTCCCAGTCCTCATGAACTCACACTCTAGTAGCAAGAGATGAAACAAGTAAAAAAATCAATGACCAAGATAATTTAAGGTACAGATGGTATTCTGAAGAAAAAACAACAGAACAATGTAATGGAGAGTGACTGGGGGTGGACCCTCTAGACTCTGAAGGCAAGGAGATGTGAAGATATGGGTAGTTTACAGATACACTTTCTTTCCACTTTCACAAGAACCCTCTGAAATCAGTATATGTCCCTAATTCCAGATGAAGGTTCTGAGGCTCTGAGATGTTAATAAGCCAGAATTCAGACGCAGGCCCATCTGACGCCCAAGCCCCTGTCATTTCTATCAGACTCTGCAGCTGGCAAATGCCCCAGTGTTCTCTTCCAATGAATTCCTGAAACCAGTCCTCCCCATACTGTCCCAGATGATCTCTTGAAGGACAGGTAAGTGAAACACAAGTTTCAGAAAACTTCAGAAAGGAGTGTCTACAAGCTATTTTGTGGGTGTCTCAGCAGCCTTTCCTTGACTTCTTATACAGGAAGGAAGGTGGAAGTTGGGGTCCAGCCAGCAGAGGAAACTCCAGGAGAGATATGTAATGCTAACAGACTGCAAACTAGTGGGTTACCAAAGTGCTTTGGAAAGCTCCTTTGGGTAAAAACCTCGGACTGTTCTCCAGGAATGACGGCTCAAACCATGACCTGGGAGGCACAAGGATGCCACAGCCAAAAGCTCAGGGAGGAAAAACTGACTTACGTTCAGAGAAATTAGATGGAGAGATGCTAACTGAGTGGCTGGAGCCAATAAACAACTCAGGAATTGAGAAAGAGCGTCAATAAGTCATACTTTAAAATCGTTCCTTGTGCCATGGAGGCCACGGGCTGTCCTACAGCAACAGAGAGAGAGGCCAATCAAGGGGCACTTGACACTGAAATCAAACCTGAGGAGAGAGCTCACTCACTGAGTACTGGAAATATCCAGACCATGGGCTCAATTTACAAGGAGGGATACGGCAGCTTTAGGAAACAGGGAGACTTGGGCTTAGAGAAAACAGCTGTGAAGGACCTACCCTAGAGCGTGTGGGTTGACGGATACCAAGGATGCGAGATGAAGTTAAGCTCAGCACTAGAAAACTCATTTCCATCACCCAAAATGACCTGAATTCTTTATGATAAGCATGCACTGTTTTTACAAAAACCATGGTCAGATATGTCAGATATCCAATCCTCCCTCTCCCCCATGCCCCAAATCACATTTCATTTCCTCCTCATAAACAAGGTCATGATTTTGCTTCCCTCTTCCTGGCTAGTGAGAGCTCAGAAGTGTTAAGGCACAATTTTGATTTACCACAGTGCTCTTTTGTCCTCTCCGCTCAGGCTGCCTCACTTGAAATAAGCTTTGTCACAACGGGAACAATCACAAGAACGAGATGGCAACAAAATGGCTCCCTACCTCCTCTTCAAATCCCAACTATTCACCATGAGCTCAGGCCACCCTTTCCTCCTCTGGTATTCCATGATTTCACCCTGCACAACAACTTTCCCTTCCCCACCCTCATCCCTCACCCCTCCACCCCTGGATGATGAGGCTTTGGTGAGGCAGCTTGGCTTGCTGACCCTTTCTCCTGTTCCAGTGTGTTCCCCTGCTTCCTGTTCTACTCTTGACCACACTGCCTCTTCCTTTCCAGACTAACTCCACAGAAGTTCACTGACTTCAATCCCACTGATGGAAACCCCACAACCCACTTCTTCATCCCTAAACCAGGCCTCCTGAAGACTTTGCACTTTATTCTCTTTACTGAAGGCATTGCTGCTTACATTGGTGTCTCTCAGGTTTTAGCAGTTATGGTTGTGATGTGCATCTGCTAGGCACCCTTGGGCATACTGACTTTTTAAAGCTACAATTAGAGCCCAAACTCCTCAAATGCGAAGTGAACTCCTACTTTCTAACTTCCATAATGCTTGGTGGAATGCTTCACCCGGAGTCCCTCATATACCCAGTGACTCAGCTGACAGACCCCAGCAACCACTCACCATTCCTGCCGTCCATTGGCACTTGGCTCAACACAGTTAGGCCAACAAGGACATAGTAGACAAGTCCAAAACAGTACTGCACGACGTGAATCATGGCATTGGAGAAGACACTGACATAGAAGCACTCGAAGAGTCTTCGTAGGCTGTGTAGCCACAGAAACACTAGCACTAAGAACGCAGACAGCACGAGCTCACCCCCTACAATTCAGAATGGAACACACTCAGCATCTCTCTCTCCAGGACTAATCCAAAGTTATGATTTCCCCTACTGTTAAACAGGGTATTAAACAAGATCAGAGCTTGGAAGGGGCCCTAGATATCATCCAGCCTAACACCTCCTTTGTTTGGCAATGAGGGAGTGAGCCAAGTGAAGTCAAGGCATTTGGCTCAAGGTTACACAGTAAGCTGGTGACAGAGCTGAGACAGACTCGGGTCTCCTGACTCTACGCTGTGATGTGAAAGCCTTCTGGGTTACATGGCTGTGAAGGGATCCATGCTCTCAGAACCCAAACTCCATGGTCTCTGGTCCCTGGCACTAATCCCCATCTGAAGATAGTCAGGAAGAGTTCCTGGATGACCTCTGAGCAAGGACTCCTGGTGGGATCCCTGAGGTCAGTGGGGAGAAGAGACACAGGCATATACAGAAGCAGAAAGGGGGATGGGAACAGAGACAGGAAGAGTTATGCATTTCTTTCTGTATTAAAAAAAAAAAAGAAATTATACTTTTGGGGGACTGTGAGACTTGAGATCTATCTTCCTATCTGCCTCTCAGCCCTCTGCCTCAAGAGAAGTCAGAAGAAATTCTGTTTTTTAAAATGACATAAAATCTAGATGTTTTTTAAAAATGTTATCACACACATCATAAAAATACAATAAGGACACAGCCTAATGAATTTTTGCAAAGTACACCAGCCCATCCCACCCATACGACCAGCCCCTACATCAAGAAACAGAACACAACCAGCACCTCGTGCTCCCCTCCAGGCACTGCCCGTCCCCGCACCCTCCCACGGGTACGCTCTATGGAGACTTCTATCACACAGATTGGCTTTGCCTGCTTTTCTCATTTAAATATAGTGAAACCTAGTTCTAACTCTTCAGGAATAGGATAAAACAAACAACCAAATACAACTCCTCACAACCACCCTTCAAATATCAGAACCCAGCCAGCCCCCCAGTAAGCAAATGAAGAGGTAAAGTTTTAATGGGTGAAGTGGGATTCACCGAGGTATCTTCCCCTCCCAAGTAGGATCTGCATAGCTTTTTCTTTCCGTCATCTTTTGCAACAAGTTCCTCTGGTTATACAGAAAAGGACTGTTCCTAGGAAGCCAGCGGTTTGGCTGCTGGAACAAAGGACAGAGATAGCACCAGAACAATTTGTTTCTAATTCTGCCCCTCTCCTGATGCCTGATATTAATTGAGGCCACTTTATGGTTTTCACCTTCAATTCCTTACCTTTTAAATTGTTCTGTGTATCCTTTATTCAAGGCACAGTGAGGCAAATTTAAATGCTATTTTGTAATCATCTGATCAACAACTATTTACAGTCAATTTTTTTTATACAACCAAAGCCTCACAGCATAACAAACATTTTTAACCTGTGATCAAAAAGTAATTTTCTATCAAATTTCTGGAGTCCAGAGGCATGATTGTGGTTGGAACTATATATATGATAAATGTTTCAAGGCAAACCTGAGGGATCCTAAAGTACTAAAAATATCAGAGGGAGAACAGCCAGTCCTGTTCAGCACAGCACTTGCTGGGAAATCAGGGATGAAGAGCTGACTCTCAGCTCTGCCATGATCTCAGTGAAGGACTTGGGGCCTTCCCCTTGGCCATCTGGCTGTGATCCACGCGGAACCCTTTCTGCCCCACCCTTCACTTCCCAGCTCTGCCAAGAAGCTGAGAGTGGCTATGAAATACCGAGAACACCTCCCTGCAGGCAGGAGAGACAGGAACAGGATACAATGGTTGGTATTAGCCAGAGGAGTTGTTACCTCGGAATTGCGCAGCCCCAAGAATTCTGAGTAAATGATGAAGCCAGTTTGGAAAAGGTGCTCCCACAAACAGAGACTGAGTAAGGCTCCAAAGCAGGAAGCCATTCCACAGCACTGAGATGATATAGAAGTGAGAAAAATACCTGCGGAGGGAAAACAAGTTAGGTAATAATCAGAGTGGATCCACTTTAAGCCTTTATACAGGAAGACTATTTTTAGTTTCCCTATCCTCTTTCCTCCATTCCGCAAGTATAGCTTTGCTTTTTTAATAGAACCTGAATCCTACAGATGTTCAGATTTTTGAAATTTCCTTTCAAATGATGGGACTGGTTAACTAATAAGAAAAAGAGGCTTCCTAAAGTCAACAAGAACATGAATGACCTTGTTAAACTTAGATGTAGGGTTAATTAGCTCTCTCTTATCTTCAGGTAACAGGATTGGGCTCAAACTCAAAAATAGGGGCCCCAGGGCCTGGCAGAGACAGCCTAGATCGTGCTAACACTAGCCAAATCTGTGGAAGATTTATAAATCTCGAGTGATATTGCTGCAACAGCCGTACAACTGTTACACAAGATTTGCACAATCACAGGTTCTCAGGGTTGCAAGAAACCTTAAAGGTCTTCTGATTCAGTGTTTTCTTAAATTGTGTTGATCTAAATTACTTTTATAATAACATGACAAATATTAACTCATAAAACTAGCTATCAACTCCTGATGGGTACCGCTCTCATACAAATACAATACATATTTTGCAATCATGACAGTAACGAATGAAATAAATAAAACCACAAAACCAATAAAAGTTGAGATTAGTAATTAGCAATGTCAATTTAACATGAAAGATTATGCTGGTTTGCTGCAAAGGAATCACCTAATATGGCACCAGGGCCTAACATGCTTTTTTGAGGTCTCTTTACCTATACCTCTACTATTTTTCTCTAATCAAATCAATGCAAAATCTTTCTGACACTGCAGGGTGCCTGGAGGTCACCTGGCCTTCCCTGGTCTTCAATGCATCACATCTATATTAAGCCCTCCTTCTTGTCTCATTTATCTGTGATGCAGTAAGACAGCCTGGAGTCAATAGGATTACACATAGATTCAGGGACTCCTCTTCCAGTTGATTCAGAGTATGCTTGTATGTACCAGACCTCACAGTCCCCCAGACTATGCCCACAATCCGTCTGACAAACACTGATCGAAGCTGACCATTCCATAGCAACCCACTTATTCTCCCCACTACTGTTACAAATTCTATCACCAGATCTGTCCTCTCTGAGATGTCCTGTTATTCTGGATTCAGATCTTCTCTAGGCTCAAGAGCTTAGTTTCCTGCAAAGTTCATGCATGAGTGTCAAGTCTACCCCCTCGTCCCCACCCCTGGGCCCCTGGCCTTTGGTTGCCTCCCAGGGTCTTCCGTAAGACACACTTCCTAGAACTGAGCCCAGGTCTGGTCTGAGCCAGCAGAGCAGAATGGCAGCTGCAAGGTGCTCTGCAGGCTCCCATGGAAAGGGGAGGGGCCAGCTTCTGAGGAGCAACTTTCAGCCGCTTTACCTACTTCATGTTTTCAAAACAATTTACTGAGCACTTAGAACATGCTAGGTGATGTTCTTGGAGCTGGAGACGCAGCAGGGAGCAAACTGAGCAGGTGGCTGCCGTGATGAAGTTTATCTTTCGGCAGACAGTCAGCAAATGAACCTGTAGACATCTAGCCCAGTGCTGGGTGAGGGAACAGAGACGGTGCAGAGGGGAGGCCATTCTGGGTGAGTGGTCAAGGATGGCCTCTCTGGAAGTGACACTTGGCTAGAATGAATAACCTTTGTGAATTTCTGAGCAAAGAATGTTCTAGGGAGAGGAAACAACCACCACGAAGGCCCTGAGGCACAACAAAGGACACATGTGTGGAGGGTGCTAGGGCATGAAAAGCAAGGGCAGACCCTACAGGGCCCTGTAAGGACACTGGCTTTTTTTTTTTTTTTTTTTTTTTTTTGCGGTACGCAGGCCTCTCACTGTTGTGGCCTCTCCCGTTGCGGAGCACAGGCTCCGGACGCGCAGGCTCAGCGGCTATGGTCCACGGGTCCAGCTGCTCTGAGGCATGTGGGATCTTCCCGGACCGTGTCCCCTGCATCAGCAGGCGGACTCTCAACCACTGTGCCACCAGGGAAGCCCAGGACACTGGCTTTTAAGTGGGATGGGAAGGCATCTGAACACAGCAACCTGAAGTAATACTTTATGTTTTAAAAATCCTTCTGGCTGATGGAAAAGTTCTGGAGATGATGACAGTGGTGATGGCTGCACAACAATGTGAATGTCCTTAAAGCCAATGAGCTGTACACGCAAAAAGGGTTAAAGTGGAAAATGGTATGTCATGTATATTATATCACAATCAAAAGAAAAAAAAGAGAGAGAGCATTGTTCATTCATTTTGGTCTTTTTTAAGTTAAAAAAAATCCCCCTGGTAAGGAAAGAGAATCGTCCAGTTGTGGGGAGACCAGTTAAAGAGTATTTCATTTCATCTTCCCAACAATCCTGTCAAGTTTGCATTATATTTACATGTGGCAGCTGAGAAAACTAAGGCTCAGAAGGTTAAGTTACTTATCCAAGGTCATGCAGTAAGTGGCAGTGTTGGCTCCACACTCAGCCCTGATGACTCTGAAGTTAAAATCACATGGCTGTGCTCCTATTCATGTGATCTAGACTTGCCGGAACCTGCTTTTCCAGCCCTATGTTACATGTACCAATTTATACCAAACCATAAGTCAACCAAATTACTCAAGAATGTTTGATATAAGATGCTAAGCCACATTTTGCTGTGCCCTCCTTGTGCCATGGGGTTTTGATTCACAGGCAGATTGTTTTCCTTATTCCTACATTTTGCACATTCTATCTGTTTTGCTTGCCTTATTTCCTGCTACAGGAAACGTGTCCTACTCTTAATTCGTGGTTACATCTGTTTTTTGAAAAGACCCAGATCTAGCCTCAAAAGCAGATCTGAAAACTCTCCTTCCTTCTCTTCTAGACGCTCTCCCTCTTTTCCCCCCTTGGCACTTTGCTTAACTGAAGTGAACCCCTGGGAGCAGGGATATGGGGACCCTTATGGTAGCTCAGGGCTGGGCACCGAGCAAGCACTCCTCTGACTTAACAAACATTTTGGTGCTTAGTATAAGCCAGGGACTGCTCTAGGCTCTGGGGATACAGCAATGAACACAAAAGACAACAGTTCCTGCCCTCATGGAGCTTATACTCACAGTTACACACAGAAGTAAAATTTACACCATGTCAGTAGGTGATAATTGCTAACAAGAAAACTAAAGCTGGGAAGAGACGAAGAAGTGCTGGGGATGGTAGTATTATACTTTTAAACAGGGTGGGTAGGGCAGGCCTCGTTGAGAAGGTTATACCTGAGCAGAATTATAGGAAGTGAGGGCATAAACCATCTGGCTATTTGGGGGAAGAGCTTTCCAGGTAGAGGAAAGGCCTCTACAGGGCGAAGGCCCTGAGGGGACAGAAAACAAGCAGAGAGACCCAGAAAACTGGATTGGAGCCACACGAGGGGCAAACGATAGGATCTCAGTGAGGTGGTGGGGACAAGACTGTACAGGGTCTTGGGCTCTTCCTGGGAGTGAGCTGGAAGCCACTAGATGGTTCTGGGACAGGAGATATCTGATCTAACACTACTTGCTGATTGCAAGAACTGATCCCAGGACCAGTTAGGGGAGTCATAGGTTTAATTAAGGAAGGAAACCAATGGTTCCCGAGTTCTGACGAGGTGCCTGGCCCTGTGCCACGTGCTTTAACGTCATAACCACCTGTATGAGGAACAGGTGCTATTATGCTAACACTCCAGTCCATACCACCACCTCTTGCCTGGAGCACCCTTAACGGCCTCTTACCCAGTCTTCTCCACACAATGGCTAGTCATCCTCTCAAACATAAATCACATAATGCCATGCCCCCTTCCCCATCCTAAAGCTACTTTCCACACACTCAGAATAAAATCTAATCTCCACTATGGTCTGTAAGGCCTGCTGTCTGTCCTGGCCTCCCAAAATAAACTCATCTTCTGCCCTGCCCCTTTCTGATCATCCTTTCTAGTGCTGTCATCGGCAACCCCATCTTGCTCATGATCAAGTAACCAGGCTGGATTTCCTCTGAAGCACTTATTACCATCTGAAATTATTTTGCTTGTTTTACAAGATTTGTTTACATATTTACCATTTTACAAAAACAAAGGCTCCAAGGAACCTAGAATAGCTCCTGGCAATAGTAAGTACTCTATAAACAATGGTTAAATAAATGAATGAAAGAGAAGGTACCACATCCAAAGTTACTCTGAGAAAGCAGTCAAGTTAATCAACAAACCAATTAAAGCTAAAACCTTTTTTTTTTTGATTCATTCAAAACATTGATCGAGGACCTTATTATCATCAGGCATTGAGCCCGAGATATGGTAACAAACAAGACAAATGTAAACATATGGAGTTTACAGTCTAGAGCAGGGATTCCTGACATTTTTCTTCCATCATGCACTCCTTTGGCAGTCTGGTGAAGGCTACATGCCTAGAAGACATAGGGATAAACGAAACCAATTATGCTGAAATATAGGTAACACAACCACTAAGAAACATTTGTAATATATGTGCTTCTTAATTAATGTAGTAAATAACAAGATATAATGGAGGATAATACAGTATTCTTATAGTGAAAATAATGTTTTGAGGTCTCCTCAATATTTTTAATATAACATTAAAAAACTTGTCACAAAATTGCAGGAATTGCTAATTCTACTGTGGTTTGTTGATTACATTCACCATTGAAGTGCCAAATTTCAGCTAGAGGTTAGTGAAATAAAGATGTAATTTTTTCCAATCCAATTTGCCCCAAATTCTATCCACAGATCCCCTGGACTGCAGGTTAGGACCCCTGAACCCTAGGAGGGAAAGTCTGGATGGTTCTCTTTGTCTCTACAGCTCAATTCAATTGCAATGTTTCTATAACATTTTGAAATATTAGAAACAGAAGTACTTCCATATACACTATGCAAGTCAAGAGCACTGTGACTCACGTTCGAGGTCATGTATTTATTCAGACTTTCTGGGAAATCAAAACTCCAGGAAGGGCTTCCCTGGTGGCACAGTGGTTAAGAATCCACCTGCCAATGCAGGGGACATGGGTTCGAGCCCTGGTTCGGGAAGATTCCACATGCCGTGGAGCAACTAAGCCCATGTGCCACAACTACTGAGCCTGTGCTCTAGAGCCCGCAAGCGACAACTACTGAACCCGCATGCCACAACTACTGAAGCCCGCAGGCCTAGAAACCGTGCTCCGCAACAAGAGAAGCCATCGCAGTGAGAAGCCTGCGCACCTCAACGAAGAGTAGCCACAACTAGAGAAAGCCTGCCCGCAGCAATGAAGACCCAATGCAGCCAAAAATAAATAAATAAAATAAATTATTTTTAAAAATTAAAAAAACACAAAAAACAAAACTGCAGGAACCAAAAGAAAACAAGAAAAGCAACTATCACCTTAATTAAAAAAAAAAAACCACTACCAGGCAGGGGTAATGGAATCAACATTCCATGAATTCAATTAAGGTTTAATTCTTTCCTCTTTAGGAAAAAATAATCCCAAACAAATTCACCTAAGCTCTTGGGTGCAGAAACGTGATATACAGCTGCCTATTTCTAAGTGTAAAAATTACAGGCTTATTTTCACCTTTAAGAGTACTACTGAATTCTGAACAAGGAAAAATATTTAAATATAGCATCTAGACATTTTTGCCTTTCATGACTGGCCTGGGTTTGCTGCACCTTCTCTAGTATGAAAAGGAATTTTAGTTTAAATTTAGAAAAAAGACCAAACAAAACACCATGGAAGGGTCCGTTCTAGAATTCTGGAAGAAGAAAAACACATAAATTATTTCATAATATAGCAGAAGTTACAAGGAGCCCAAAGAGTACCAATTTTGTAGTAAAGAGTAAGGGAAAGGTACAAAATTTGTTTCTTGGCCGTCAAATATAAGGACAGACCGGAGCAGTAACAGGTAGGGTATGGGAGCCAAAGAGGTAAGTGCTGGGAATGATTTGAAATATGCCCTCTACTCCAGAAACAGTAGTACCTTTTCTAAAATTCAGAAAATAAATTGTTAGAACTCACACTCTCAAAAAAATTTTTTTCTTCACCTTGTAACACTAAAAAAATGACAATCTAGGAATGTTCCTGCTATGAAATAGAAAAGTACTACACTCAAAACCTGATGAAAAATAGGATGACCGGAAACTTTAGCTTACAAAGAGCTTCTAAAAAATAGGAGGTTTAATCACTGTGTGTGAATCGTCTACTTCCCAGAGCCTCATTCCCGTTACATTTCCTCAGAATGACCTAGTGCTCGCTTCTCAGTGTTAATACCTGATGAATATTTCTGCAACAGTCAAAAGTGGGAAGCCAAGTTTATTTAGACTCTTTCTTGTCTGCAGACCTGGGGCACCGCCTATGCGAGGTTTAAGTGAGAACCAAGATGTTTTAATACATCAGAAACCCTATCACATTTCTCCAGATTCCTTCCTAAACGCCAACTTAGGCTGTATCTCCAAGAAAAGCCACTGCTATATTCCTACCGTCTAGCAGTGTTTGGCTGACTCTTCCCGGTAATGTTCTGAATTTAAAGAAAAGCAAACAAAAACCGAAACTATAACAAGCCTTACAATTTCTGAAAGAATTCTATTTAAGTCCTAACGATTTAATCTCTCGTTGAACTTAGTTATGAAATCTGCTGAAAGTCAAATGGGGCTTAGGGACCAGGCTTGCCTAAAATGTGCCATCTTGGGTACATTTCTCCAGGGGCACCTGCCGAGATGCGGGTAAGGAGCGTCAGTGCGATCGAAGGAGGTGGGCGCCAGTTGGTGACCCGCGTCTCACCCTTCATCCTAACTGTTTAGAGTTGGGAAACAAATACGGGACACAGAGGCGCGAAAGGAGGGCCTGCCTTCATTTTTAGTGAGTTCCGGCGACCTCAAGTTAGCTTATGAGCCCCTAGAGTGCAGGAGAGGGGAAACAGGAGAATTTTCGGAAACTTTAATTTACCGCCTGGTGACCGGGCCTAAATTGGGAAGCGCTGCCATTTACCCCGAAGGAAAGGCTACGTGCGGCCAGAAGTTCACGTTCCTGCACCCCGGAAGGTGCGCGCAGCTCAGCACCCTCGGTGTCGACGGACACTCGCGGCATTCAGCCCCCAGCGCCACGCAGCGGACGCGGGCAGAGCCGGAGGGCGGGCCGGCGTTGCGCCGCGTCGAGGAACCCGCCTGGGCCTCCCGGGCCGGTCCGCGCCGGCCCCGCCAGCCCCGCGCCCACCTCTGCTGCCCCCTGCCGGCTGCTCGAGCGGGGCGCCCCCGGCTCTCCGCGCCTAGGCAGCCAGGACTCGCGCCCGGGCGCGGTTACCTCTTGGGGACATCAAAAGCCCGACAGGCGGCCGGTCGCGACGGCCCCCCTTCCTTGGTTTTTCCATAGCGGATCAGGTCCTGGAAGAGCGCGCAGCCCGGAAGCAGGCCGGACGGCACGAGCTGCAGCAGTAGGGTCAGCAGGAAGGCCGCGGCCAGCGTGAGCCACACGGCACGCAGCGGATTCAGCGCCGAGAGTTCGGCCCCCGCCCAGGGAGACATGGCCGGCGCACCCGGCGTCCGCGCTCCTCGGGCCCTCGCCACCCGTTGGCGGAGAAACAGCCACTCGAGCGCGGCGCGCCGGCCTCAGCCGGGCGGGACGTGGGTGACGCAGCGCAGGGCTGGGTCGCGCTCGGCCCCGCCCAGGACACGCCTCCCGGGAGGAGGCACCGCCCCGCCGCGCGGAATTCTTGGTCTGGGTCTTGCTGGAGCTTGTTGGTCGCTCTATCACTAGTCTGAGTCGGGGTTCCTATATGGAACCCCAGAAATACGACTCAACAGTATGATTTAAAGCAGCGGAACGAACAAGACTACGTCTGCAAGTCTTCACTGCAGCACTGTTTTCATTGGAAAAGTGGAAACAATCCAGAATGTTCCACGTTAAGGTATCTAGCTAAATTATGGTACAATAACATTGGAGTATCATGAATCCATTAACATAATTATGAAGACGGTCGAAACACGGAAAACTGCTTATGATAACTGGAACTGTAGGTTAAGCGAAAAAAAAGACTAAAATATATAGCTATGATTGCGAACAACTATATTAATATGAATGTGTGAATATATGGATGAAGAAGGCGGGACATACAAGAAAATGAATAGTTGTATTAGGATGTTAGGAAGGTGTATAATTTAAACGCGTAAAGTAGAAAGTCAAGACAATTGCACGTACAAAAATGAAAGTGGTAAAAATTCTATTTTAAAAACTGCAGTCCTCTCCCTACTAGAGTTCCACTTCTTAGAGGCAAAGTTTTTAACACCATCTGCCGTTTCTGATATTTACTCCGTGTAGTGACTGCTATTTTTATTGACTCATCAATTTTAAACAACATTGATTTTCAGTTAGGACAAATGTAAATTTAACTCTTTTAGGTAATTTTTTTAAAGCCTTGAAAATGTCAGTGCTTAAAATATTGTATGCCTCTTATATGACAGGCATCGTTTTGCACACCAAGGACAGAGAGGCTTACAGGACAATGTCCCTGCCCTTCTGGAGCTTAGGTTCTTGAGGTTGGGTGGCAGGTGAGGGGTAGGAGAGGGGAGTGGCCGCCCTTACCCCAGTGTGATACCCTACATTTGTGTTGAATGAGCCACAGGGAACTGGGTAGGAAGGTTATTGTGGCTTGAACAGTCCTTTGGAATGTTAAATGTGCCAGCTTCTTAAGAGTTTTGGTTCTTTGTTCAAGGACACTTCAGCCTTTACCAGTGACTTGAGAAACACGTGATAAAGGTTAGTCAAATTGGCCTTCCAGCTGGGACAATGAGGTCTCTCTGTATGACCTAGGGTTTCATCTGCAGGGGTCACCTCTTCATTGTCTCTTCACTGTTCTTAGGTTAACCCCATAGAAATGCTGCTGGACTTTCTAGAACATCTTTCCAGACAAGCTACCTGGAAGTTCATTGCAGGGATCAAGTTTCCTGAGTGGGAGGTTCTCTTGTAGTTACCTGATCTGGGGAAGGATCACAAAACAATATGTGGTGTGTGTGTGTGTGTGTGTGTGTGTGTGTGTGTGTGTGTGTGTGTGTGTGTGTGTGTGTGTGTGTGTCACAAAACAATATGTGGTGTGTGTGTGTGTGTGTGTGTGTGTGTGTGTGTGTGTAGTGGAAACAGGAAAGACTGAAGCTGGAGGGAAAAATTATCCCATGTTTTCTGGCTTGAATTTTAGTTAGAGTTCACAGCTCATATTCAGACAAGCCCCCTGTAGAGGGCAGTGGCTGAACAGGAAGCCACAAGTCAAACCCTACTGTAACCATTTGTAAATGTTGAAATGCTTACTGGAGTGAGTTATTTCAAAAGTGGAAAACCAGGCTAAAGCCTGTTAGACAGATCATCGCCAAGAAGTATCAATCAGTTTTTGTCTTTCTTCATTTAATTACCTGCACTGTATAATTAGCAAACCTCTGGCTTGGCCTGCAGTAAATGACAATGCCATTTTTCCAGTTGTTCAGGCCAAACCCCTTGAACTCAGCCTTGATTACTCTCTTGCTAAATACAATCTGTCAGCAAATCCTGTTGGCTCTACCTTCAAAATATGAAACGAAAATTCAATCACCTTTGGAGTCAGTGCTTTCCTGAAGGCCCTAGCTAGCTCAATAAATAGGAGAAAGAAATAACAGGTCTACAGACTACAAAGTAAGAAACGAGCTGTTATTATTTGAAGGTAATATGAAACTCCAAGAGAGTCTGCAGATAACATATTAGAACTAATAGAGTTTGGTAAGGTTGGATACAAAAATCAGTTTCTAAATATTGGTCATTTCTATTTCTGAGCAACAAACAGAAAATAAATGCTTTAAAGATAACATTTTCAGTGGCATAAACTTATGTGTCTAGGAATAAATCTAATAAAAGGTATGTAAATCTTCAAAGAAAATAAAATGTTAACTGGTATTAAAGAAGACATATTTAAAGGGAGAGATATACTAAACTCACAGATCAAAAGACTCAATATAGTTAAAATGAAAATTCTCCCCAAGCTGATTATGGAATAAATGTAGTACCAATCAGACCCCAGCTTTTTATGGAACTTAAGAAGCCGATTCTAAAATTTATATGAAAGTAGGAAGGGCTAAAGATAGCTAAGGTACTCTCAAAAATAAAAAAGAGGACTTGCTTCATGAGATAGCAAGACCAATACAGAGATGTAGTAATTATGTCAGTATGGTGTGGAAGCAGGGATAGACGAAGAGACAGTGGAGCATAATGGAGAGTCCAGAAACAGAACCTCCTCCCACTTCCCACACTCCCTTTATATTTCTCCATAGCCTTTGCCATGCCATGCCATGCCATGCGCATTCATTTCTTAATTTAGGAAGCACATTTGTACCTCCTGGTACATAGTGTATGCTCAGTAATTATCTGTGGAATGACTGAATGAATGAACAAACTTACTGAGCCTCCACCATGCATAAGGTTTTATACAGTAAACTATGGGGTGGGGTCCACAGGGCCATGATCATAGGCTCCTTGAACCTATCAGAGTGAAAACCTGGGGGCTTTGGAGCAGACACACTTGCATTAGACTGACTGCTCCATTACTTACAATCAGCTATGTAACTTACAGTCACCTCTAAAATAGAAGCACAGGGTGTTGTGCAGGTTGAGTGAAATTATGTATGGAAAGCTTTGTACACAGAATAGGTCCTCAACAGGCGTTAACACCTCTGCATTATCTTCATCTGTGCATTGGGCACGATACAATCTTCCTTAAGGAGATCCAATAAGATTCTTCCAGATGAAAACATCCCACGCACCACCTGTCACACAGATGTTCAAAAATGCTAATTTCACATACATTTGAAAAAATAACCACAATGAAGCAGAGAAAAAGGGCTAAATGGGTGGAGGGGTCATTTCTAACTGGCGTGGTCAGTGAAGTCTTCCTGAAGGAAGCTAGATCTTGAAGGATGGTGAGAGTTCCTAATAAACGAAGGGCCAAAAGGGAACGAGACTAAGGAAATGGCATCAACAAGGTCCTGTTTTGGTGGTGGTGGTGCATCAAATCTCGGTGAAAAAAGTTACCTTTGTTCAGCATTTGCAAGCAGATGCAGCGTTGACATCAGCTGCAAGTGTCTCTGATTTGGTGCTACCGCTTCTCTGGCTACATGATTTGGCTTCCCCTGCTGAACAGAAGACCTAGGTGTACAGCACACTATGTCTGCAGTATTTAGTCAGCAGACAGCGACTGAATTTTAAACAAAGGAGTTACATGATTAGACCTTTCAGTTCATTCTGGCAGCAGGGTGGAGAATGGATGGGATTAGGCTGGGGGCAAGGGTGGGTGAGATGAAAGGCAGGAGAGCAGGTAGAAGCCTTTGTAAAAGTTTTGTTGTGGCCTAAAGGAAAACTGTGCCCGTGGGGTGTGAGGAGTGAATGCTTCTGAGACATGTGTGGTTTGCTGCTTTTCCTTCCCAGCCTGAATTCATGCTCTATTGGTGCTTTTTTTTCTTTTTTTTAATAAATTTATTTTATTTGTTTATTTTTGGCCGCGTTGGGTCTTCACTGCTGCACGCGGCCCTCTCCAGTTGCGCAGAGCGGGGACTGCTCCTCGCGGTGGTGCGCGGGCCTCTCACCATGGTGGCCTCTCCCGTTGCGGAGCCCGGGCTCCAGGCACGCGGGCCTCAGCAGTCGTGGCACGTGAGCTCTAGAGCGCAGGCTCAGCGGCCATGGCTCACGGGCTTGGCTTCTCCGCGGCATGTGGGATCCTCCCAGACCAGGGCTCGAACCCCGTGTCCCCTGCATTGGCAGGCGGATTCTTAACCACTGCACCACCAGGGAAGCCCCTATTGGTGCTTTTTTTCTACTTCCTATTACACACACACACACACACACACACATCAGTTCTCATTCCTGTTCGTCTCTTGCAGTGGCCCTGCAAATCCCCAACCCTGTGTGGACCCAATCACCCACTTTCTATCAGAGCTACTGAGCAGGATGGGCTCATTATAGGATTGTCACCTGAACTCACGGGACAGCCTGAGCCATCTGACAGTCCTTTCATTTGCTTTTGTCAAATTCCAAGCCCATCATCCTGTACTGAGTCTTCACAACCTTCTCCTTCCAAATCACCTGGCACTTTGCCGTATCACCCTTTGCTCTCAGAAGGTTATCTGAATACCTACTTCACAAAAAAGGTCTTTGGGTTGCACTTTATGCACCTGTGGTTATATTGATGGCCACACCTGTCTTTACCTCCTTTCTACCAATCAGGCCTGAGCAGGTGACTATAATCTGACTGCCTGAATCTTGGCACAGCTGCTGGGCTTGCTCCTCTAGCTCTTATCAGCATTCTGCCAGAGTCTTGAAGGTCTCTGGCTTTATTTCCCTGTAACTGAGCCTGGGGCCCATGGCTTCCCATTCCCTCAGCCTGTTTGCTCTCACCTGTTCTAGGTCAATGCCTTTCCTGCCCTAAGGTCCAGTTTTGCCTTATGCCTTCTATTCCATCCCATGTTATGGGTTGAATTGTGTCCCACAAAAAATTTGTATGTTGAAGTCCTAGCCTTCAGTACCTCAGAATGTAACACTATTTGCAGATCATATTTATTCATTCAATATATTTTTCAAGCACAAGCACTTTTTGTT